AAAAAAAAAAATATATAAAATATATATATATATATATATATATATATATATATATATATGTGTGTGTGTAAACAACAAAAAAATTAAGAAAGAACAACTAGATTATGTGCATGAAAATGCTAAAAATCATAAGGTGGTATATTGATAACACGTATCATAATCATATAATCGGTAGTTCATAGATGTGTGTTATGGCTGTATTGTGGGGCGGACATTTCAGATTTTGTTTATATTCTGACTTTGATTATTTTCGATTCATTTTTCTATTTTATAAAAACTATATATATATATTATTCAACGTTATTAAGATAAGTGTTTGTTGAATTGGTCGTATATATATACGTATTCATAGGCCACGCGTACGTTATATATATATATACACGTATGCATAGGCCACGCGTGTACGTTTTAGTGGGTGGGACACTGGGAGTCTTAATTACCTTATATGAAGTGGCTAATTAACAACTGTATTAGGAGGATGTCCCTTGACTAATTCAGATTAAGTTCACCGACTATATAGTTAATCATTTTCTCCACCGTGCTTCTAAAATCAAACCTCGAAATTTCACGTGTAAATTTATATATATATATATATAAAAATCGTTTTCATTGGTTGTTTCAAATAAGAGGGTGTCATAACACTTAATGAAAAAAAAATCGTTCAAATATGTAAATAGGAAAACAACAAAAATTGGAAGACCATAAAGATAGCTCATATTAGGGTGGACACTTCGGTTCGGGAATTTAGTACCGATCCGATCCGTCCCGAAATCGAACCGGACCGAACCGAACTGAATAACGTTTGGTTCTAATTTGGTACACTTTTTATGGAACCGAATGAACCGTTCCCAAACCGAACCGTATGAATTCCGAACCAAAATTCGAATATTCCACTAATATATTTGTAAATATTATAGTTCGGTATTTATTTGGTATTCATATAATAGTACCATTCCGAACCGAATCGATACTAAAACCGAACCGAACCGAACCGTTTAACATTCGGTTCTAGGTTGGTACGCTTTTTATAAAACCAAAAATACCGTTCCCGAACCGAACCGCTTGAATACCGAACCGAAACCCAAAACCCGAAACGCCCACCCCTCGTATGACGTGTAATAGAACAAACACAGTTCCATGTTTTGTTTTGACCACTTTTAGTTCTTAAAAAAAACCCCGAATTCCACGACTACATTTCAACACACAAATGTTGACTCACGATAACTTACCTTTGTGAGTATTTATACTATATATGATATAACTTACAAAAATAAACGACAATATATATATATATATATATATATATGCATACACACAACCATCTAAAAAAGATTATTATTTCATTTCAATATAGAGAATTGGAAACCTTTTTTTCTTATATATGTCAATATAGATAAAGTTTTGTGATTTTATATACTTTTAATTATTAAGATTTGAGATTTGAAATTGTGATACACATTTGATTAATGAACATTATATTGAATAATTTTAAAAAATTTCCAAATTTATATCTTATATTATTCTAACTTTATTAAATATTATTTTTCGAATTTTACAAAACATTGCAAAAAACTCAAAACTAAATGAATAAAATAAAATATTTTTGCGAGATACTATGAAATTGGTTCTAGTTGCACAAAAAAAATATGTAAAATCCCTAAAACAAATCTTACCGAACTATTGTGCCATAACATTCTTAACTACTATTTTCATGAATATAAATATTTAAAAAAATATAACATTGGAATTTTGATGAGATACTTACAAGTGGGGGCGTGGCTAAACGCATTGTGTCGTTGCCGTAATAATGAAGGTTCAGTTTCTGTAATTGCCTTCCAACTTTATTCATTTTGGTCAACCCTTTTCTCCATTATGGGTTTTCCGTTTACATTATATATATATATATATATATATATATATACAGCATTTTCTGATTTTTTTATAAATATTTAGAGTATGATTGTAAAATGTCACTCACATGTGATGTGGTCGTGATCGAATGTGACTTAATGATGACATACGGCATTTATGAGTTTTCCACTTTGAATCTAATTATTTTCCATTCCACGATTTGGACATCATATTTGTCTTTTTGACTTTTTATTACTTATCAGAGGATTTTGGATTATTTCATTTTTGTTTTCAACTCCAAAATCCAAATCTTATTTTATTTTAAATAAAATTTGCCAGAATATGTCATATTTAATATTGGAATTTAATTAAAAAAAAAAACTGTCTAATTTCAGGAATTCCGATGAGAGCTCGGTACGCCATAGCCATCGGAGCCGGCATCCCGGGAACGTTATTCCTCTTCGGCTTGTTCTGCTTCATATGCGGCAAAATCAAATCCTTCATCAAACGACATCGTCTTGGCCCAGATCCAGACCAAAGCAGTCCGGCCCATTTAATCCAGCCCAATGTAATCATATCGGGCCTAGATGGGCCCACGATCGAATCGTATCCGAAGATCGTGCTCGGAGAGAGCAAGAGGCTGCCGAAGCCGGATGATGCCACGTGTCCCATCTGCTTGTCCGAGTACGAGCCCAAGGAGACGCTCCGCACGATCCCCACGTGTCGGCACTGTTTCCATTCGGAGTGCATCGACGAGTGGCTGAAACTGAGTGCCACGTGTCCGATCTGTCGGGACTCGCCGGAAAAGTCCTCTCCGGCGCCGGAGGAGAATCTGGATTCTTGCTAATTTATCGGCGGAATTTTCTTTTCCTTTTTTTAATTGGGTCGGTTGTGGGGTTACACTGCATATAAATCACGTGAGATTATTATAATGAAATTCTCTGATGGAATTTAGACGTGTGATACACGGTTTTTGTATGTATGTAATGCGAGTCTTGTACCAGACCGGTTTAAATAGATTGTATTGGGGTTGGTACGGATCGATTTGACGTTTTCTTTGTGTAATATTATGTTGAATTTGGACGAACAAAAACGAGAATTGGAGTAAAACTCGTGTATAAATTAAAAAAGGCATAAATATTTATACAATTACACTCCAAATCAATTTATATAGAAATTAAAGAAATCAAGATCGTATCCATTTTTTTTATATACTACAACTTGATTAGAATCACATTCTTATTCTTATTTTTTTTTATGAATATAAATTCGAGTAAAGAAAACACGGCATAACATCATGAATTTGTCAATATCATCATCATCATTAAAAAAAAAATTGACAACATAAAGTAGAAAATTCTCATTACAAAAAAAAAAAAACCGAAAACATAATACCATAATCACCATGTATTTGTATTTGCAAGCTTTCAATTATTTAAACCTCTTTAAATGCTTCTTAATGTTTATAAAAGTCAAATGGTATGGAAGAGGGACGAAGGTGTCTTGCCTAATAAACACACCCATAAATGAATTATCGTACCCTTTCTAGATCATGCACTCTCTCTTACAACATTAAATGGGACCGCTGTCTAAATCAAACCTCACATTGAAATTTATTTATTTTATTTATTTTTATTAAATTGTTGATAAAGACTAGCTAGAGTGAAATATGCAACTCACAAAACGGCCATATTTAAAAAAAAAAAAAAAATCTGACGAGAGACTTAGAAACTGGAAACAATGACAAGAAACAATAACACAGCACGGTGGGGTGTGTGTGTGTTGTTATTATTCACTCATTCATGGACAAGATTCTGCAACTCCTCTATGAAATTATCCTCGTAATTATCGAAACATCCTGGACCGACCAAACTCTCCTTCAATCTCCTGTGGTTCTTCCTCACCATTTTCCCGATCTCGTCATCTCCATCCATCACAGAATCAATGGCGTTGATCAAGCTCTCTCTCGAAAACTCTCTCGTCTCTTCATCTCTCTGCACTTCCACTGCAACTTTCAGTTCCTCGACCATCAATCTCGTGTGGAGGATCTGATCCGGCAAGTGTGGAACCAGTACTATCTGACAGTCGCTGACCAGTGACTCCCACATGGACCCGAACCCGCAGTGGCTCACGAAGCAACCTACCGATGGACACAACTCCACGCCCCTTCCCTCTTTCCTCGAACCCTTTCGGCAACGCTTCTTGAACCGTCGATGCTCCCTCCGGTGGCTTTAGCGCCACGAGGAAAGGGTGACCCGTCAGCTCCATGGCTAAGCAGAGTTCTTGGAACTGATCTCTGTCGAGAATGACTTGGGATCCAAATGCACAGAACACTACAGAACCTGGTTCGAACCCACTTAGCCACTTACCCCAACGGTCTTCTTCTTGTTCTTGTCCCTGTGGTTTGGGAGTCTTGTCTGGATCATCAGGGAACATCGGACCAGTCAAAAGAACCCTCTTCCGGTACTGGCTCTCAATGAATTCCACGAATTTTTCTTCGACTTCACGGCATGTCCTGATAGCAATGGCGTCACACTTGATAAGAGCGATGACGTTTCGTTCATAAAACGTTACTCCCTCTCCGAAAGGACACAAGGCAAACGACAAGGCTTGAGCCTCGTGCCCTCGAAGAACCACACTGGCGTAAGGATATCCAGGCGGAGGACGAGCTAAATCTTCCACCGTTACACGCTTATTACACCGTTCAGGAAGAAATCCGGCTATACATGTCGCAGACTCCGTACTGTAACATACTGTCTTGGCCCCGACCTGTCTGGCTAGATCCGGAATCCAATGAGCAAAATCATAGACGATCAAATCTGGTTTCTTGTCAGCCGTTGCAGCTTCAACTTGGTCACGTGTGAGATCCATGGCCGAGGCCAAGAGACTGCAGAGTGAAAGGGGAATATCGGAAGCGGTCTCCGTGCCTTTGGGAAGTCCATCGACGTCTGGAACTGAAACTGGTTCGAGAAGGATGTTGTCCGGATACAGATTCAGGTGTTCCAACTTGGACTTAGCTTTCCTGGGGAGCAAGAAAGTTACTCTGTGGCCTTTCTTGGCCAATTTGTTAGCGACATGCAGAAATGGAATCATATGGCCAAACGCAAACCATGGGAACATCAGAGTATGAAACTCTAAACCCATTTTTTTTTAATATAAAATTTTTGTTCCTTTTGTCTCCCTTCGGTTTTTGTGAAGTAAAGGTGCTGGTAACATATATATATATAGGAGCTGGTAATATATATATATATATATATATATGTTAAACCAATAGATACATATATACATCAACCTATGTATGCATCTATTGTATCGTATCCAATGCGTTCGGTGGAGTGAATTTTGCAATTAATGAGTTTTTCATGTCAAGCTTGTGACCGCCCGTCTACTTTGTGGCCAAAATAACATCGACATCCATAAGATTATTGGTGAGAAACTCAAATGACATGAAAATTACCATTTTTTTTTGAAGAAAATTAAATTTATATTTTAAAAATTATTTTATTTAAAAAACCCGATGTATCGTTATTCAAATGACATGGAAATAACCAAAAAAAAGGAAGAAAATAAATTTTTTAATTTAAATATTATTTTATTGAAAAAAACGATGCATCATTTACATAATTTTGTTTTTTCAAAATTGAAAAATTTTAGAAAAAAAAAATAACTAAATTAAATTGGAAATAACAAAAACAAGTACACGCCACAAGTTGCAAGAAATGGGTAGGTAAGTAATAGATCCAACGCCTAACCGCTTTTCACTCCTTTCAATTACTTGCAATTGCTACGGACAATCTCTTTTCACCGGTCAGCACCAATCGTCTTGAATTGACAGCAAACGCATTGTAAACTCTCGCAATCGCCGCGGTTGCGATTCCACCGGTCAACACCTTGATCGCAACCAATTGCAATCGTTATCAACAATCACTAATCAATCAGTCAACACCAACAAACGTTGCGGCTCGTAATCGTAATCGCAATGGTAACGGTGCAACAAGTGAGCCCACAAAGGCCAGCTCTGTACCAATCAGGCTATCAGATCCCTGGTTTTAGCTCTATATGAGATTCCTTCGGAGTCCATAGCTCACTTTATAGTCTATATCAGTTCAAACGTCAGTTAGCACCAGTAGATAACAGTTCCAACAAATTCTTTTTTCATACGACATCGAACATTGATTGCACGTACCATCACATGTATTTATATTGCAGGCCAAAGGGTGCGGACCCTAAATATATACGTATATGGGACAATACGAATATATATATATAATTCAGTATTTTTTTTAAACGAATATTTCAGTATGTTATTATTGTTTTGTGACATGAGTTTTAATGAGACAACAACGTGTTATTACAATCTAGAAGTGCCAAACGTTGAGTATCTTTTAGTTGATGACTTCGCAGGGAGGGAAATTGGTGGAGCATCGCTGGGGAAGCTGAAGAGCCATGGAGCGGTCAATGCCAGAGAGGGGCGGGCCGTTGGCAAGGAGGCAGAGGCAAGGCCGGCCCAGCGTGACAACAGCAGAGCAGCAGGCCTCGGTGGGCGGGACGGGGCTGAAGGGCGCCACCGCTGCCCTGCAGGGTATGAGCTGCACCAGAGCCGAGAAGAATGTCCTGCTGCATCCACCCGCCTCCCCCGGCATCGAAGGCGGTGGCTGCTGCTGCTGCTGCTGCGCCGCAATCGTCATCAGGGTCAGGATCATGGTCATGATCCATATCGTAACCGCTTTGCTGCTCTCCATCATTGGCATGTCAAGTGGATGATGTGATGGTGCAATGGAGTGAGCTTCCATCTATATCTATATAAACGCAGTAAAGTGGATGTCGTATGGTATGGTCCATGCCGTCCACCCCTCCCTCCTACCCTCGAATGGAGAAGCTTCACATCTTATCCATGTTATGTTACCTCCCTCTTGGCATTTTCAAAATGACTTATTACTTATTGGACGCTGTTTTCAAAATTTTAAATTATATTAAGCATGTACAATAACACTATATATTATTGGGATCTATTTTATCGATCATAATCAACAAATGTCCAGCGGCGAACATAGAAGAATATATAATTGGGGGGCATATATACAAGAATATTCTAAAATTTTAATAAATACCTTAATGTGTTTTTTTTTTAAATCATTAACAACCACATTATTAATCGCACATAATATATAGTAACAGATGCACGCTCACCACATTTCTTATTTTCTGTTTTGTAAATTTTAAAACTCTTTAATTAAAAGGATATTATATAAATCTTAGGAAAAGCTAGGTTCTAAAATACGGGAAAAATACAATAGCTAGGTTCTAGCATGCATGAATATTATGAATAGATACACTCACTCGTATACATAATCATCGTTTCATCATATACATTACCACCCACAAAAAAAAAAAAAAAAGGAAGAAGCAAAGCTATCACCTTTGCAAAAGCTAATCACCATTGAAATCAGGCTCGGCTGGTTTCTGGAGCAACAATGGCGGCATCCTCTCCTGCACCCTCGCCTTCCTCATCGTCCCGCTCCTCCGTATCGTCCGTAGGATATTCGCGGCGAACCGAGACGCGTACATCGTGGCCCCGAGGCTTGGGGAGTTCCCGCCAGATTCCTTCGCCAGAGCATCCTGCAACCGATTCTCCTCTTCCCGAAGCGACTCCTCCACCTTCTTCTTCGAGTATCTCCGCCATGCCGCCTGTATAAAGCATGCCGCCCACGTCCTCCATTGCTGGGAGTAGAACCTGAACGTGTGCCTCAGCTGTTTGCTGTGGAGCCGCCTGAATTGCGACGCCACGAATTTCAGGTCGTCGGCTTTCAGGGCAAAAGCTTCCACTTCGGTTAGGGCTCGGACCGTTCTCGTCGAGATCGGCAGGTTAGACGAGGAATGCGGATCCAGGGCCCATGTCAGAAGCTCCTCCCCGCAGAAATCGCCCGCTTTGAGATACTCCGAGTTGAAAAAACCGGTTCTTCCACCATTGGTGGTTATAGTTAGGAGCTTTCCTCGCATAACAAAGAGCATCTCGTCTACCGGGTCTCCCTCCCTCACGATGTAGCTTTCCTCGGTGTACAGGACGGGTTTCAGCCGATCGCACATCGCATCCAGGAGCTGTTCGTCCATTTTCTCAAACATCGGGACCTGAAAAATGGCGACTTTCTCAGATTATATCGGGATGAATGTTCATCTTGAATATATCGGGATTTGTGAGGATGAGTGAGTGAATGGAGAAGTTTTACTCGCATGAGAAGGGCGAGACAGAGATGGCGTTTGATGTCCCGTCTAAGATCCTTTGGAAGATTCCGAAGAAGATTCTCTTCATCTACGCCTCGGGTTTCTTGCCATCTGTACTGCTCATATCGCCGGATTCTCTTCCTCAAGTTCTCAGGGAGAAGGCGGTGAGCCATCCATTGCTCCGCATCTCTTCTCTTCACTCTCATCTCCTCCAATCTCGTGGTCGTTGATTGCAGATACGTCTACGATTTTCAGACATCAAATCCCGTCGGTTGGGTAAAGACTCGTAACGAAGAATCTGCTCACACAATGACAAAATCGACAACGAGACCTACCTGCATGTTTCCGATAAGGAATGAGAACAAGACCAGTCCGGAGATTGAAATGAAGACAGCGAAGCAGATTTCCCAGACATATGTGCTCGTTTGGAGGTTTTGCCCGAGAGAGCTGCCGAAACAAGAACACGATAACAGAGTTACTGTCTTTCTCGAGATTGAATGGTCGATATAAGGAGGCAGAATTCATCGTACCTGAGGTTCTGAAGACCCCACCAGAAACAGTAAAAGAACTTCTGAGGGAAATCCCGGGATTCCACCACACCGGACTGAAGGGCATCTAGGAATATTCCGAAATCGAAGAGGGTCGTGTTCGGTGTCTGAACCGGACAAGACTCGTTCAGGAAAGCGTTGCCTCCTCGGGTGCCATGGTCACAATACAACAACCTCAGATTACAGGCCGGGTTCCTCTTACATGCTCTTTTCCAGCAAATTGTTTCTCGTTCGATCGAGAACAAGTACCAAAAAGCACCAAACACCTGAAAATTTTACCAACTTTATTAGCAAACAGACAATGATCCAACACTAAAATCTGTGAAAACGGTTAATATCTATCTAACCGGAAGATATCGGGTAGAAACGATAGATGAACGGACACATTAGTTAGACTCACATGACTAGCAAGCATGTAAAGGAAGAGATTAAAAGCTGCCCCGGCCCATGCTGTCTCCGTGAGTATGCCCGATGTCCTCGTTACTTCCTTATACAGCGGATATATTCTCACAAATCTCGGTATATATTGGAAGAAAACGATGAACTTCAACAAATTTTTCGTGTTCAAAGATGCTGAGCCTTGCATCCTCGGGATGATAATCAGTATCACCACCTGAAAACGGTTCACAAACCACCACAACAGACTCTCAATGAAAACGCTTTCTCAACAACTGCATATGAACAGTGCTTTCGTGGAAACAAACATATACAAATTACCTGTGGAAGAGGAAGAACAGCGAGAATATCGATTATGAAATGCGATGACAAGTATCGTTTGGCGATCTCCCCTTTGTCCTCGACAAGAACTCCCCTCCCGAATACCCGAGAAGGAGGGGCGATGAAACCAGTACGAAACTGAAAGATGATATGAATAACATAAAAGATATCTGTGAATGAACGTAAAACACTGGCAGTAATCTCCATCTTCTTGTCCAAACCGAGGCATTTCTTTGCATCATCAATCACGGGTACGTAGAAAAACAACGGGTCGAGCGACACCGCAATTATACAGGCCAATACGAAAATCTTGTTCCACCTCTGCAAGAATGCTCCTTGTGGGTCAAGGACTTTGTTGGTGGAACCTAAACCTTTGGAAACAGCATCCTTGAAAGAGTATGATTTGAATGATCTCCTAAACCCTTTAATCCTCACAGAACCAGATTCAACGCTTCTACGGAGCTTGTCTGAAATGGAGGTTATAGTTCTCTTAAATCTTCCGAGATGCATTTGGTTCATCCCCGAGTATTCGACATCGGATGTCTTCTCGGACTTCCAGTCCTGGAATCTGATCCAACACGTTTGGAACGCTCGAATCAGTTCATTAACTTAGTGTCCATCCAAGGAAGGATTGGGTCACGGAATTAAGACATAAAACTGGAACACGGTTTGTTCGATCTCGAGGAACGCATTTGATCAAACATGATCGTACGAATTTGGAGCACTGACCTCACAAACTTCTCCTGCTTGAAATCCATTACAACAGCAGTGATTCAAAGCAGAGAGGCTATCCTCGGACCTGATTTGACGGGCGAAGTGAACTTCATAAACTTCAGCAAAAAGAGAAATTTTCAAAACCCTGATTCCAGAAATCCACAAATCGTAAAGGGTAAGCAAAAAAACTTCAATTTAGCGCAAATTTCATCTCAAAGTTCAAAGCTTTTTTGCAGGCAGAGAGAGACACAAACACCCGTTACTACACTCGGAATGCGACCGAGAAACAAGTACAACATATTAACAAAGGAAAACTTAAATCCAGATACAAAATACCTTTGATTTCTCTTTCTGCTTCGTTGAAGCTTCTCCGAAGAGAAATCCACCGGAAAATGGCGAAACGGCGCCCTCCAAACGTCCGGGAGACCGAGTCACGACTCGCGACACAGAAATTCGGGAAAAAAATCTCACAAGAGAGATGCAGAAGAATTGAATTGAAAAAAAGAAACTCCGATAAAATCAGAATCTTTCTTCTTGAATTCGCCAGAGTAAAAAAGAAAAACTACTACACAGATTAGAGAACCCAAGAACCTGACAAAAAAAAAAAGAGGAAAGAGAGAAGTAACGGGCAAAGATATCAGAGAGAAAGAGAGAGATCGGTAATGGAAGAGAAACTGAAATGAAAACGAAGCCTCACTTGGCGACAGAGCGGACGGAGAAGTTTCGAGGAACTTCACTATTTCATTTCATCCTTTTTTTCCATAAAATATCCTTTTTCCGCATCTTAAAAATTGATTTTAACATCCAAAAAGACACCAACCCAGTGAACAAATAAAATTTTCCGATATGATTAAATTTTAAAAACATAATCATTTGAATTTATATCGGATTTGGATTTCGTATCACTGAAATTTAATTTTATTAAAAATATTGTATATTTTAAATGATTTATTGTTATATATATATATATATATATATATATTTACATTTAAGTTATATTCATTTAAAAATTATCTTCGATATTTTTAAATCTAGATGGGATTAAATGGTATTTTTCATCCACAGAAAAATAAAGGATCCAACTATATATATAATTTGCCAAACTGTTACGGGTATATGGATTATTCAAATAATCACTTTTTTAAATGTTAGAAAAAGACAGATAAATTCAAAGATAATCTCATTGTCATGATTCTAACAGACCGTTGTGATATCTTCAACAGGTGAAGTGCACACACAACACAAGCTCACCTAATACATTGATTAATCCTAAAAATAAATAATTTCACTTGTCCAAAATAAAAAAAATAATATACTCCTTGCATATGAATTTACCTAATGACATTCGGATACCAATAAATTTATACATTTTATTTTTTGAAATGTTTATTACAATAAATAATATAAAAAGTTGAATATTTATTCATATGCTAATGTTTTCTCATGTACCGAATTGTTCACATTTAAAATTCCACTATGAAATCAAAATGGCTGAATTGTAGCTCGAATAATATTTTATCACCAATAATTAGATTGATTGACGAACCAATATGGCTCAACTATTAAAAAAACCATATAAAATTTAATTCGAGTGTGAGATCTTGCCCCGTGAAGTTTGTACCTACAAACTCGTCCCTCGTCGTTTTTTCTTTCGTCTTTTACTCTAACCATTACTATATTCTATATTATGCGTATTAAATACTATAGATCTATTTCTGCTTTCCATTCATATTTTATATAGTTTAAATTATTTTATTTTAAAAAATTATATATTTATTCAGATTTTTAAATTTTATGTAGAATTCGACACGTTTCGATTTGGATTGAAGTTCATATATAATTAAATGCTGAATATCATATAATTATATATTGAATATATGTTTTGTGCGGTTATTATAGATTAAATTAAATTAGATGGATTGGTATCTCTCGCTCCTCACCCAAAGTAGAATAATCTTTTACTCCCTCTGTTTTAATATAAATATTGTTTTAGAAATTATTTTTTGTTTTTAAATTATTGTCATTTTAGAATTTTTAGGTGATTTTTAGTAAAAATTTCCAACTTTATCTTTAAATAAAAATATCAAACTTCAATAGAATATTAATGTGAATATAATTTAATAAGGGTATTTATGATTTTTTTATAATTTTTTTAAAAACGTGAAAAAACTTAAAACCATATCTATATTAAAACGGGAAGGAGTATTTTGTTGTGGTTTAAAAAATCAAAAGTAAAAGTTTGACTCTTAAAGTTTAAGACAATTACTTGAACCGTGACAATTTTGAAAATCGACAAAACGACGGGAAGGGCAGAGACCGTTGACTGTTGACTGTCGAGACAGTCGTGTCCCCTTTTCGTACGGCGTCTACGTCATATTATACGCTGTGTTAGACTTACGGTGCACCGAAGAGCTTGACAGCCGTTGGACCTTGACAACGGTTTCCCAGAAATCCAACGGGCCTGATTTACAATTGGGCCTAAACCCATTTTTAAAATTACTACGTGGGCTTTATTTTATTGGGTTATGCTCTGAGAACACTGCCCGTTTAATAAGTTAGCCCAATTTTAATAATGTTTTTTGGGCCGACACCAAATACATTCGTATGTACTCCCGTGAGGTTAGAGAACATTTATTTGTCTTGCTGTTGGAAAGTGGAAACGATGTAATAAAAACGGGTTATTTAGTTATTTAGTTATTCGGTTCGGATTCGTTTTAAAAAAATTTCGGTTTTTATTCTATAAAAATATATATTAATCGGTTATTATCTTATATTCGGTTTGATTCGGTTTTAGTTTTTATTAAGAAAAAAATTATATTTTCTTAAAAAAGTTGATTTTACGGATTTTTTTAAAAAAATTCGGTTCGGTTTGATTCGATTTTAGAAATTCAATTATCTAACAAAATAGACGGTTCAAATTAAAAATGGTACCGAGCTTTTTGGTTAGATACGATTTCTGTTTCAAAGAATCATATTGAAACATACACAACTAAAAAATCATATAAAAATGAAATTTGTTATATGCTTATCGGTAGACTTCATGAAACTAGAGAATTCATATAATATATTTTATTTTTATTAATTTATTGACAAACATATATATGTATTCATACAATATTCAAATTATGTTCACTACGACAACATATTATTGGTTTAGGTGATATATGATATTTTACGAGACGAGAACCTATACTTTATAATGACTTTCATTTGGATGAATATATTTCTTTTTCATTATATATGAAATAATAAAATCTAAGAGTCGTTATGAACAATATCGTAGATTCTCTAATCAATTATCATTATGGAAACGATGATAAATTAAGACTAGTATGAGGTGTGATCGATAATCATGTGTATTGTATATAGATCATGATCATGAATACTTATTTGAAAAAGGGATTGGACAACCCACATGAGATTGTCAGATAAACATGAGTTAGGACTTGAATCTCATGTAATGGTTTACTTTTAGATATTCAGACGTGAGATATCTCTGTGACCCGACATGAGGAGTCACATGCTTTGATTACATTGAACTCCATGTGTAACATGTAATAGGATGATTATAAATGTGTAACTCAGACACTTCATGAGTCATACACATGATAGTAGATAATAAAGATGAGATTTGTTTCTCTTACAAGGAGGGATATAGTTGAGCCATTTATATGAATAAAGACGGTAGAAATGTTTTGTTGCACTATAAATGATTATCATATATTACTTATAGTCTACGCATGAACAAAAAAATTATTGAATCTGATCCCATACTGTTTGATATCGTTTGATAAAAAGATCATTATTTTAACTATTATCGATTTTGATTAGATAGTTCTAACTTTATCTACCTTGGATAATCATAGCGTTTTGTCGGATGAGCCTATATAGTCTCACACACATAGATAGACGAATACGTATGTTAAATCGGTCCAAACCAGTTTAAAATTCTAAGTCAGACCATATTAAATTTGGATCAGACCGAGTTGAATTTGGATTGTTCTTAATATGATTCGGAATCTAATGGGATTAAAAAACCTATTTCATTTAGAAAAGTTAATAAGAATAGAAATTCTCGTGGGATTGAAAATTTTATTTCATCTAGGAAACCTAATGAGAATAAAAACGAAATATCTCATAGAGTTTTTGTACACGTTAAAACAAGTTTAAAAATACTTTAGCAGTTTCTTAAACATTTTAGATTAGATCTAAGAGTTTTAGAAAAAAAATTGAATTTCTTCGAAACGCTAACACATTTCTTTCTCAACCATTTTAACAAACAAGATCCAAATATTGAATTCTATCCCGATGTCTGGATATCTGCAGCGGATGTTGGCACTTTCGACACCTAGTGAGGGGACGAAATCAAAGTAATAAATAGATCCCGAATCGTTTGGCGAAGAAATATGGAGATTCTAGGTTAGTATTCTCTTTTTCCGATAATTACAATTATAACATATATATTGGTTTCTAGAACTATTAGAAATATTTGTTTTACCTTCCATTGTCAATTTCTGTTATTCTTCCCTTCATCTCTATCTATCTAATCTGACCATCCAAGAATGGTTATATTTAAAAAAAAATACCGAATTTTGATAAAATACGAAAATATGTACTATATACTCCTCTGGTTAGAATCTAATCATGGTTAACTAACCATGTTACCAAAAAGTTGGATTTTGTGATATTATTTTCTAGGAGACCCATACTTTTGTTTTAAATTCATAAATTAGATTATTTTACCGAACCATTTCATTTCGTGGCCCTTTTATATTCTTCTTCTCCCCCAAAGAAAAAATTTCATTTGGGCAAAGGTGTAGTTCTTGGGGGCAAAAAGAGAAGAGAGGTATTGCAAGGTTCCACAAATGGATCTCTCGTAGTAGAAGTTGATTGATTCAAATTACTCGTATCCTCGAAGGAACGAACAATCCAACGATTGGGTATGTGTTTCGTATTTCATGGCTCCTTCTTTTTCCTCCCTGGTTTGCTTCATCTTCTCGGTTACGCCTTTAGGTGGGCAACATATTTTTAGGGTTTCGAATTTCGGAGCAGTGGTGTGAACTAGGGTTTCCGTTCCATTTGCTCTCTCGGATTTCATGCAGTGGTGAATTTGAGCATTAGCCACTTCTCGCGTACTTCGTCTTGTCTGCAGATCCGTAGCCGGAGCGATTTGAATTTCTCAAGCGGGTGGAAATGCGTGGGTTTCGAATGGGTTAATGGATTATTGCGGTTTAGTGTGTGATTAAGGGGTTGATTCCTGGTGGTTAGAAGAAACACAGCTGCAGGAAATTCGTGGCTTTTGTCGTAGACGTTGTGGGTTCTGAAATGCGGTTGACGTTTCTCGTCATAGTTTGAAGATCTAGGACCATAGTCGATCTGGGTTTTCGTTTTTTAATCTTCTTCATCACAAATGAAGATGTTGTTCGTAAGAATTTGACGATGCGTTCTATAACTCTTTTGATGACATTTCTGCCCCTTAAATATTCTGTAGAACTCTAGGTTATTATCTTGTGTGGTGATTTTGGTTCACGGGAACAATTTTCAGGAGTTTTATATTAGCGCCATCAAGTTTGCCTGTGGGATGTTAGTTGCTGTATATCCGGTTGGAATGTGTAGAGGGATTCAAAGGGACTCCATTAAAATCTTGGGCAAGTTATTTGGTGATAATGGTGATGGTTCACATGGCGTTTCGCATGTTAGTCCTTTAAGGATTTGTGTATCCATGTTAGATTCTGTGGACTGCTTCGACTGATGTACGCTTTGTGATATTTAATGGCTTATAAATGATAATTTTCAGAAATTTATGGCTACGGATTTTGTTTTTCTATCTTTATGATTTGCATTTATGGTTCTGCCTGAAATGGTCAGATCTCATTCCTTTCAAATGATCAGATGCTGTTCAATTCTTTGTCTGTCAAAACCATCATATCTCAAAAAGTCTAACCTCAGTTGGACCAGAAGATTTCGTGATTTGTTGTTTCTAAGTACTTTCCAAGACATTCCTCTGAACCTTTTTCTCTCGTCCCTCTTATGTGAAATTGTGTTTAGGTTGCATACATTTGGGGATTCTGTTGAAAAGCCTCTATCTTGCAAGATTTAAAGCACAGGAGAAGGTAGTGTTATTGAGCAACTCCTCAAGGACATGGAATGCAATAAGGACGAAGCCTCAAGGGCAAAAGAAATTGCTGAAAGGAAGGTTACTGAAAAAGATTATAAAGGGGCAAAAAAATTTGCCCTTAAGGCTCAAAGTTTATATCCCCAGCTTGATGGTCTGAGCCAAGTGCTGGTGACCATTGATGTTTACATCTCAGCAGAGAACAAGATCTGTGGAGACGCTGATTGGTACGGTATACTTGGTGTAGATCCCTATGCTGATGATGAATCAGTGAGAAAACAGTACCGGAAGTTAGCTCTTATGCTCCATCCCGATAAAAACAAGTGTAAAGGTGCAGAGGGTGCTTTTAAGCTGGTTTCAGAAGCTTGGGGTCTACTATCTGATAAGTCTAAGAGATTAGCATATAACCAGAGGAGGAGTTTAAAGGACGTTCAACCGAGGTATCCAGCACAGAGTGGGATTCCATCACGCCAACCAACTTCAAATGGGTTTCAAAATGTAAGAAACAATGTAGCTTCAAGTGCTAGGGCTAGAACCAAAGGCAATGCCCATGTCTCATCATCTTCTTTCGTTTCTTCGAACCAGAAGACGAGTACCTTTTGGACGATGTGTAACAGATGCAGGACACAGTATGAGTATCTGAGGATTTATCTGAACCAAACATTGCTCTGTCCAAACTGTCAGGTGGCTTTTATTGCCACAGAGAAAGCTCCACCTCCAACTGTTTTGCGGCCGCCCAATCTCTCGTCTCACCAACAGCATCCCAGTGCCAAACACCAAGCAGCAGACAAGAACACGTATAATACCTCTGGTAGAGATTCTTCGCATCATCATCATCCGTCCGTTAGCCAGAATTTTCGATGGGATTCTTTATCGAGAATGGCCGGTATAAACAGCGGAAAAGCTCAAGCTCAAGCTGCCAGCGTAGTTCGACAGGCACATGAGAGGGTTAAAAGAGGGTTTGAGGAGTCACAAGAACATGATGCTGCTAGAAGAATGGCGAACCCTGCTCTCCAGGGAGATAGGATTTTTAAGAAATCGAGGCCAGATGATACAGATATGGATAGTTCTTGTGCAGGCAGTTGGGCAAATCAACCTAGTGTGGGAACGGGAGCTAGGTTTACTGGTTCGTCTGACCACCCTGTTAAAGGGAGTACCAATGTGCCAAACACGAGTGTTTCTGCGGGTTTCTCTAATACGTTTCACAGAGTATTATTTACAGAGGATATTCGGAAAGCGCTGAAAAGCAAGGCTTGTTCAGAAATTTCTAAGAAATTCCAGGAGCTGATCTCTGAAACCAAAGATGAGGAGAAAAAAACTGAGAGGGAGAAAAAAGGTAGCAAGGTGAGTAGTGAGGGAAATGAAAGCGAGAAAAATAGCAGGTCACCTGATATCGAGGATGTGGTCCATGTTCCGGGTGTAGAGAATGATGAACCAGTCACGATTGTTGTCCCTGATTCTGACTTTCATAACTTTGATCTGGATCGATCTGAAAAATCTTTTGAAGAAGATCAGATTTGGGCTGCTTACGACGATGATGACGGAATGCCTCGGTTTTACGCTCGCATCCAAAAGGTGGTTTCTTTGGATCCATTTAAGATGAGAATTAGCTGGCTTAATTCGAGAAGCAACAGTGAATTGGGTGATGTAGACTGGATAGACTCTGGTTTCACTAAAACATGTGGGGATTTTAGGACAGGGAAATATGAATTTACCGACACGTTAAACTCCTTCTCCCACAGAGTTCATTTCACCAAAGGTTCAAGAGGGGTCATCCGGATCTTCCCTAGAAAGGGCGATGTATGGGCATTGTATCGAAACTGGTCCTCTGATTGGGACAGCGATACTCCGGATGATATCATACACAAGTATGACATGGTGGAAGTGCTTGATGGCTATACCGACAATGAGCAGAGTGTGACCGTGACTCTTCTGGTCAAGGTACCCGGGTTCAGGGCGGTTTTCCGGAAAAGCATGGACCCAAACGATGCGAGGAAGATTCCAAAGGAAGAAATGTTTAGATTCTCTCACCAGGTCCCGAATTATGTTCTGACCGGCCAGGAGGCAGATAATGCTCCGACGGGTTGTCGGGAACTAGACCCGGCTGCAACTCCTGTCGAGTTCCTTGCAGAGAACACAGAAGTCAAAGAGTCGGAAGCGATGGAGAATGGAACAACACCTGACCCTTAGAAGACAGAAGACAGGAGATGGCTGGCTGTGTAGATTAGGATGGAAGTCTGGTAATATATATAGTAAAGGTTTATGATGGAGGGCGAAAAAAGCAGAGAGGGTTTCATGATCAAAACAACTGATTAAGATTCATTACAGTTACCCAACGAAAGCAGGTCTTAATCTCTTGATTCCCTTGAATTTTGTGTCTTAGGTGATTGATTCTAAGACTTGAGTTGACCCAGGCGGCGGCAGGATCATGTTCCTTTTTTGGGTGCAAGAACCATACCAGAAATTTGGCCGAAGTATGTCGATTTTTGTCAATTGTACGAGGTTCTTGTTTTCTTCTTTTTTGTTTTCTCACAGGCCAAATGGAAATCCTGGTTGAAGGGACGAATATATAAAGATTGGACAATGGTAACGAAGCTGAAACACCCATCTCTCTGTTTATGCTTTTGTCTTGGACTAGCGTTAGATGAACCATGTAGCTCGATATCGATATATTAGATGTTTCAATTTTTTTGTCATTGCATTTATAATCCAAAATTGAATAAGTTATGTGGAGCTTGCAAAATTCGCCATCTTGAATCAACTGTTTAGTTTCATACTACCATATAAACGCACCACAAGGCCTGGGTACCCGAGTCATTTCGGGTTCGAGTATGAGTTTCTTCTGCCGGTTACCTGTACTTGTAGGGAACTCGAGTCGAGGGGCTCGAGAGGCGACGAACGCAATCCCTCAACTTCACCACTATTAGTGTCTTGTATCGTCACTCGAGACAAGGGTCACAAACAAGCTCGTAAATCGTAAAAATATTCTTTTCTTGATTGCATTTTTATGTTTTTTGTATTTTTATTATGTTTAATATTTTTATGTGTGTGTATATATATATATATGTGATTGCCTATGTGTATATTTGTATGTATCTATATATGTATATTGTTTTTTGGTTGTAGTGTTGATGTTGATGATGTTGTTACATAAATACTTAGACGTGTCACAACTAATCTAAAAGCAAATGTAAGGTTGTAAACTTTAGAATTTCGTATGAAACGTTTTCACAATATTTTCTTATGTTTCCTTTATTAGATTACAATTAAATGTTTTGTTCAGGATTAATGCATAGTTAGTTCTTGATCTATAACATGTATATGGTGTGCGTATATATATATATATATATACACATATACAAACATAGGGTGCCCACCAACACAAAGCTTTTCTTCAATCACATCAACTATAAGTCCACATTCTATATTGATTTCTGCCGATTTGTTGATTTGGTTGTAATTTTGTTGGTTCAGTTTGACCTTAATTCAGAAAACATGTACGTATAGTTATACAATATACATACATACATACATACATATATGCATGGGTGGACCCAATTCATTAGCAATGAGTTCTACGCCCCCATTCTTTTTTATTTTAATAAAATATTTTCTTTTATAAATTTTAGATAAAAATTGTTAAACACCCTGTAATAAATTTAAATTTGCTCCTAAAAAATTATAATAAATTTACTATTGCCTTCATTTATAATTATTTTTAGATCCATCACTGCCTAAATGCGTGCAATGGGGGGCAGCACATGCACATATGGTTCGAATATGGCAGTTCCAAGATTAAGACCAGGAATGTTAGTTGAATTGACCGGTCAAACTATATCCTTTTTTAAATACTCTCGTATGTAATAACTATATAATTGCAAATATAAAGAAAACCCCTACGTATGTAATTGTGAGCAAAAAAAAATGAAAAGATTGGTATGAATTTTTTTTTATAAAAAAAATTGATAACATATTATATTTGGGTTTAAAAATGTTTAATAACCGAAAGTTTGTGAAAAAGTATTGTGCAATATTTTTTTTTCTCTGTGATAAAAAATTCCTTAAGTACACACACTTATCTCAACAAAATTAAGACAATAACTATATAAACTTTGTCTATCCAATTTAAAAAGTTCGTTATAAATGATCTAATACGCTTAAATTATCCCCGGGTTGTTACGACGAATTACCAAAATAAAAAATTTAAAATGAAAATGTTTTCAATCTGTATTAATCTTATTTTTACATGATAAAATTGTTTGATTGAAAAAATAATTTTTTTTAAAGAAAAAAAAGGCAAACATATGGTCCCGTTAACATACATACATACATACATACATACATACATACATACATATATATATATATATATATATATTCTCATTAGATTTATTTAATTTTAAAATTTTATAAGTATTTACTTAATTATTATCATTAGATTTATTTATAAAATTGTTATTAAATTATTTAAAAAATTATCATCAAATTTATTTATAAAATTATCGCTATATTTATCGGCATAATCTTCGTTAAACTATTTAGAAATTTATTGGCCAAACTTTTTTTTTGTCAGAATTGGATATACGTACACATCCAAATATTTTATAAATTCAAACATTTTAAATTCAGATAGAAATTTCTAGAATAATCGGATTCAGATCCGAAATTAAAACCCTACATAAAATGTGGCCACCCTTAATAAATACATTGCATTTGGTGCATATTGTACTTCAATTTAATAGGAATCATAGTACAATTTAAAATTTTAATTCAAAGCAATATTTTACGCGTTATGAGCGTTTGCATTTCTTGTCTATATATTCGCATTTAAAATATGATTTATCTATATATATATATATATTGGTTCAAATCTGATATAAGAAAGTACAAGCCCACAGTTTCCTGAAAACAAAATGACATTTAATATGTCAGCTTTTTTTTTCACAGCGATATAATTAATTATATTACCTTCGAAGGACCTCACTTTATATCCAGTTTGTCTTCAAGGAATGCATAGCAAAATACTATGAAAATCCGATCTCCATTGCAATATATATATATACACACACATATATAACTATAAATACTTTATTTTAAAATTAAAATAAAACCTAATTTCGTTAACGCATTACATAACTTTTATTTTTGTCAATTTATAACGTAAGTATATTTCGAAATCGTATCAATAGAAAACCTCTATTTGAGTTGGTAAAGAAATTGGAGATTCAATTCTTTACCCATTCACCTATCGCTCGTTAATTACGACTAGTTAACCTAATCAACGCGTGTGTGTGGGTGAAAATTTACTTCACCACATTCGAAAGATAGCGGTTGGGATTTCCGCGATATATATATAAAAAAAATATCGTATCGGCGGATAAGGAAATAAATGGTCGTCATTTTCTTGTGACAGCTAACCATTGTACCCATCATTTTAATTTGACGATAACCATAATTTAGTGGCCAAACACATTTAGCCACGCAAAAGTAGCCTCTAGATACGAATTTGATGCGTCACGATCAACATTAACTTGAATATATCCTTACATACATATACATATACATATATGTATATATTCGCACATACACAGCTTTTATTATAATATTGTTGAATTTAATTAGGATACGAAAAGGAAACGACGGCCAACTATTTAAAATTCCAATGCAAGAACTTCTCCAGGTACCAATCTCTCTCTCTCTCTCAATTCTCTCAATGTCAACCACAAGTCTTCACGAGACGAAAAGGTCAACCGCACAGAGCAATGACTTGAAACTATTAGTTTGCAAAGATTGTTCGTTGGCCATCATCTCTCTCTCTCTCTCTCTCTCTCTCTCTCTCTCTATATATATATATATATATACACACTTTCGACTTCCTCCCCATTTCGACTTCTCAATATCCAAACACCCCTGCTTTGTCCCATCTCTTCTCTCTTCTTACACACACACACACATATATACATATATATATATAACATATACATAAACATATATACTATATATATAATACAAATGGATAACGCTAATCAACGCCGACGAAGGCGTCTCAAGCAACAGAAACCCACCGTTGATGAATCGGAAGGTCGTCCTTAATATATTGTTCTTAATTTCTTGTTTCATTTCCTGTTTTTTTTTAATATTTATTGTCTCTATCGATGACGATATGGGAAGCAGAAGTGAGCAGTCTTGAGTGGGAGTTCATCAACATGTCCGAACAAGAGGAAGATCTCATCTTCAGGATGTACAGACTCGTCGGCGACCGGTCTGTGCCATTACTATTTTACCCCTCCAGTCATAAACAAATACGATTCTGTATTTTTTTTTTAAATAAAAAAATAATAATATGTGCAGGTGGGATTTAATAGCGGGAAGGATTCCGGGGAGGCAGCCGGAGGAGATAGAGAGATATTGGATAATGAGGAACAGCGAAGGATTCGCCGAGAGACGGAGACAGCAACTCCACTTGAAGAAGAGATCTTCCCGCCTTCCTGCCTCCTCCTCCTCTCTTCCCTGATTTCTTTTATTTATTATTATTATTCGTGAAAAAAAATCCTTAATTAAATACTCTCCTTTTTGTACTCAGATATGGGTGAATCGGTTTTTTTCCTTCATTTTTTTTGTTGTTTTTTATTCGATTTTATTTTTTTCGGTTTATACAATTCGGAACCAAAGTGGTCGTGGACGTTTCGGTTTTCGGTTCTGTATTCTAGTGGTTCGGTTCGAAAACGGTATTTTCGGTGTTATACAAATTTTACCAAATTAGAATCGAATGTTAAACAGTTCGAGTTTAGTTTAGTTTTAGTGTCGGTTCGATTCGAAACGTTATCGTTATATGAATACCAAATAGTGTCAAAATATAGTATTTACACATATATTGATGGATAATTATGATTTTAATTCGGTACTTGTCGGATTCGTAACAGTATTTATACTATTCGGATAAGAAACGGTTTATTCGGTTGTATATAAAAATATACCGAATTAAAACCGAATGTTATTTGATTCGGTTTTGTTTAATTCTTGAACCGAAATGTCCATACCCAGACCAAAATACAGCTATACTCAATCATCCTATAATCGTATCAAAATTGAAAAATACAACACACATATATGATGGATCCGTTAAAAGTCAATTTAAAAAATGGAGCCGAAATGTTATATAATATTACAGCATGTATATACATGTACCGAATACATACAATACAATCTGTTTCAACCAAATAATAAAAACCGTAAAATCATCAAAGCAATTTTTATTTATTTTTAATATCCCTTAATATCCAATTTCGATAAAGCACTTATTCTTTTCCATAAAAAAGTGTTAGAAAATATAAATAAAAATAGGTTTGGTGTCCGTATTGTAATTAACACAATCGGTATTATATTTGAGACTTCCCGTGTTGAATTTAACATTGTTCATGTTTCAATTAATATAACCCGTATTATATTTTTTCACATAAATTTCACTACTAAATACAAATATATATTTCACCAAATATATATATATATATATATATATATTACCAATTCATATTATATCATTTGCGAATATGTAATTTTTTTTACTATATCCATAATACATATGAATATGAATAGAGAGATTTATAAATCTATCAATTTATTCTAAAATAAATAATAAAAAGAGGAAAAAATTTAAGTGTGAGATGGCAAAACTAACGCTCGAAAGAAACAGGCTGTCGAATACAACACAGCTTAGGAACAGAACAGTTTCTTCATATCCATCTTCCCCTTTTTTTTTTTTTTTAAAAAGAAAAAAAATAAAGAGACAAAAAAAAGAAACAACGCCAACTAGGGACAGACAGGGAGGATACGAGAGGATGACACCAATGTTGTTTTTTTGTGGGTCCCATTAAATTCCAACACCCACGTCTCGTGTGTGTGTGTGTGTATATAAATACCCAGATATCATCATCTTCGTCTCTTCTCCATCGATCGCTCTCTTCTCTATTTCGGAAAAGGAAGTCGACGACAAGGAACAGAGATCGATCGGGAAAAATAGCGGCGCCGAGGTTTCCGATCATGATTCTCTTCGTCTTCGTCGTTTCCTCCATGATTCTCTTGCCGTTGTCTCAAGCGCTTTCGCCGACATCGTCGCCGGCTCCGGCTCCCATCAGCGACGGTAAGTGTTTTTTCTCCTCACTCACCGCGAATCGATTCTCACCGACAAAAACAGTTGAGAAGTTGTGGATTTTTATAATGTTGGTCTGGAAACTGCAGGAACGTCGATAGATCAGGGGATTGCTTATGTACTGATGCTAGTGGCGCTGGCGCTGACTTATCTCATGCATTGAGATTCTCTCTCTCTCTAACTTTATCCATGATTCTTTTTTTCTTTTTTTTGTATAAACCGATTTGTTTTTTTTTTCTTCATTCTGGTGTTTGTTACTTGTGATCGATCGATGGAGAGCTAATGAAACAGAGATTTTTCCAACTACTGTTTTTTTTTTTTTTGTATCTCGCCAGGGAATTGCAAAGCAATTACAGAATATCAGATTAGGAATAAAAATACCCAAAATGTTCAAATGGACAACATATGTTCGTGTTCGACATTAATGCAATTTAAAAGAAAGGGTAAAAACACACAAGAAGATTACATGCTACGCAAGAGCACAAGAAATCTACCAATTGCATAATTCGTATTAATAAAACCCAACAAATTCCCTTACCCATTCCAGAAAAAAAATGATTACGATTTGATTGAGAACTGAGACGAGACAACCTCAGCAAAAAAATCCCAAACAATCCCACAAAAAACCAAAACAAAAATTCCTGCTCATAATAAACCGAGCAGACAGTTCATCTACCTGTGTCCTAAAAAAAAATCTTTTCTTTTTCTGTTTAATCCACATAGAAAGAGTTTCTCTGGGACTCTCGAGTTAAAAGGGTTTTTTTTTCCTCTCTCGACAGAGTCGCGTGATTAGTAGTTTATGATGTAAAGATTCGGTTGCTGTCTCCTTCTGAAACTCTTTCTAACTCGTGTTGTCATGTCCTGAAGATGTTTTATTGCCGATTTAGAACGTACTTCACCACCTCGTAGAAGGAAACCACGATCCCTACCGACGGCCCTACACGCGCCACTCGTGGGCCGATCCCCGTGAATAGCCCTCTCATCCCTCCATCCCTGTCCCCACCAAAAAACCCTTGGTTAGACCATCCAAGTCCGCCTTTCTTTTCTTTTTTACTATGCGGAGTTGGTAATGGTATTGGCTTGTCCATTGAAATGGGCATTCACCATTCAATGGACCGAACCTCACTCAGAGATGAAGACATGAGTACAGGTTCTGGTTATCAAGTCATGGCCTGAAGGCCATCGTTCAAGTCCGACAGAAACAATGGTGACAGCAGATAATCAACAACATCGGAAGAACCATACCTCCAAACATCGATTAGTGTCTGTCGGGTTGTCATTCTCATTGCCCTAGCAGGATCCTTCTGAAAGTACGAAACAAAGAGAACATGAAAACAGAAGAAGCATCATCTACCCAATGCAACTGTGGAGATGTCCCTAATAGAGAAGTTTCCAGATGTATCATGCAAATGTGTTCATGCAAGTACCTATAATTCTCTCTAGACTCATCTTATCGTGTATTACGAACTCAAAGACGTTGGTGTTGCGAACGAAAAACACACCTCTATCTGTCTTCTTGTTTTTGCAACATCAAGCGGACAAGTGGCAGCTGCAGCAATACTTCCGGCTACAAAACTGGCGGAGAAATTTGCGCCAAGAATACCGAGAGCTTTGTCTTCACCCAAAAGTCCAAGAAGCTTCCTTCTTATCTGTACCAGGTACAAGCTCCCTCATATTGACTGGTCACATTGTTAAAGTTATGAGAACAGAACGTATAATTTGAGGGAACAAGATCTCACGGGCTCAAGGGTTGCCCAGCAAATCGCTGAGAATGGAACATCACGAGCAAGTTGTGCACCTAACCCTCTCCAGAGAACACGGTATCTGTGTACTGTAACAACAACAGGAAACATAATATATCAGAATGTGGGTTTAACTGTCAACAGCAGGTAAGATTTAGATCACAATGCCTAGGTTTCACTGTCCCGGTCCACAAGAATCTATCTAGGTTCATAATTGCAGATGAAGAGGTATACAGAAGAGAGGGAAAACACAGGTAAGTTCGAACATATGCCTTAAAGCGAATATGCCATCAGAAATACATGTTAGCATCCAATCAACTTATTATATACAGCACATGAACAAGTGACGAAGTAAAGGGAGTAATAAACTTACAACTATTTTCAAGGTTATTTGCGGTCTTCCCTTCAGACACAATACCGACTAGAGTTTTAAAAACTCCTGGAGGCTTCACATTGGCTTTTGCTTCTTTAAACGCCTACAGAGGAAATGCAGGAATTAGCATGTGAATACAAGTTAACGGAAAATGCATTTTCATTATGAAACATAACTCCCATTCTTGAGTGACAAAAAACTTATGCGATGACAACTTACCTGCATACGCGTCCTTGCAAGTTCAATAGGATAGCACGTCGTACAAGCTAGTGATCGTGCCAATGCTCCAGAAACAAGAGGGACATACGGCGTGGAAGCAGGTGCATGCCGTTCAGCTAACACTTCTAACCGGTTTCGAAATATATCATAGAATGGAAGATAAATCCCAACCTGAGCAGAAAATAGAGCATTTGCCAAGTCATTAGTAATCCATAGAATTCCCTGACAAGAAAAAAACTTGTAAAATCGAAGCAAGCAGGAGCACATACCATAGGCACAGCGAGAGCGAGACCAGCATTAGTCCCTCTCCAAAGTCTTCCCAGTCCCTCCTGCATGAATTACTAATTGGGTTAGGGAGCAGAGAAATTTGAAGATTCAAGGGAAAGGGTATTTCAAGGTACTCGACCAAGGATGCTTTCTTGATTTAGCCCAAAACAATAACAAGCACTTCAATGCTAGAACTTCTGAATAATAGCTCGTATTCTCCTACCAGCCTCAAAGACTTCTCACAAAATGAAGAAATATATCCAATTTTCCAACAAGAAAATGACAAGACGGAGATTCGAAACGAGCATTCGAGCTGCCTAGGAAACTTAACTACATAATTAATTTACCACATAAACCGACTCACTTGTTGTATGATCTTGTTGAAGACATCTAGTGTTCCTTTGTACTGGAAACAGTCGGGAGGGCAAATGGAGACGGTGCCATGAACACCAGCGCGTGAACACGAGGGCGAACATCTTAAATCTTTAAACATCTGAATCAAGGAATAATTCACGTGTGTTAACAAACCCAGAACAGAACAGTTTGTAGAAAGATCAAATGTTCCATGCCGATACACAAAAGACTTTCCTCTTAATCAAATATCAGGTAAAACAGAGAACAGAGGCTTGAAACGCATACCATGTTTGGTCCGAACGACGCCATACGTCCAATGGCGTTACTTAGCGGGTGACAGTAAGAAACTCCGGCAGCTTGAGTTTGCAACCTTGTCTGTAAACACAACAAAAACATAAAAATATTCCGTCAAAATCTTCCAATAAATTATCGGTAACCAAACAGAGAAAAAAAATGAAGAAAGACCAACCCTACCTTTGCAACATCGAGCGGATTCACAATGACGGCCGACAAAAACGCAGCTCCTGCGGCGGAGAAAACTCGCTCCGTTAACCCTAATTTGTCGTCCGACGTATTCTTCTCGAACTGAGGCCGTGAATGTATCTGAGGCGGAAAAGTATCAAACCTTGCCCCGCCTATCATCTCAGAAGTCGAATCACCGGCAGAACAATGACGGCCGTCAGAGTCCACCGCCGAAGCCATGTCAGAAGCCAACCACGGAGTCGGCGCGCGCTCCGCTTCCACCATAGCTTATGGGAGTCTATGAAAAGTCCTACCACTTTCCCCCGAAAAGGACAGAGATCGAATCGATCAGAAAGAGTCTAACGTTTTCCGATCGAATCGAGATACTTCACAAGGAATTTCTCCTTTGTTTTAGGCAAAAGCTCCGATTTTTCCTGATTCCTTGTAGAAGGGGAAAAATAAGGAGCAGAGAGCTGAGAGGGGGGTTTTAACCCTAATTAGCCAGGGTCGCAGCAATTTCAGGTGTACACCACCGAAAAAAAAAAAAAATTTGCGACCTTATTACGACTAATATATAACTAATATACAACTAAAATAAGAGTAGTTTATTAGTCGTAATAAGTTGTATATTAGTTATATATTAGTCGTAATAAGGTCGCAAATTTTTTTTTTTTTTCGGTGGTGTACACTGAAATTGCTGCGACCCAAGTGGGTTATTTGAGTAATATTCCCGCTGAGGAGGAGGGGCAAAAACCACAAGGAACACCCAAGGGTTCAGTGTGCAGCTGCGCAGGAGACGAAACCCTTAGGCTTGAATTGAAGCCATGTTTGGATGGAAAATACCGGTTCGAGCGTTTACCAACTCGGCCAAACCGATCGGTTCGGTTAACCGAAATCCTTCCCATAACATTATGATTTAAACATACCCTAGTTTTTATGTAAAAGGAAATAGAAGATTTGGCAAATTCATTCGTAATCTATTCTCTTAATACAAAATCTTTACAACTAATGAAAGATATATATATATATATATATATATATATATATATATATGTGTACATATTTCTATATATGTGATTTATTGTTTCCAAATTGATTATTTCGTCTTGTTTTCACAAAATCAAATTCGAACCGATACGATTTTTTCCAAATTGATAATTTTGTTTTGATTTTACAAAACTAAAATCAAACCCAGCCCACACTTTCCTTTTTTTCAATTTAATCTTATCTAACATTCAATTTACATTTCAATTAGGGTTTCATTTAAAAAACCGAAATCGAATAACATATAATACGATTCAAATCAAACACGAACGGATACGATTTCCGAAATCGAAAAAATTGAATCCAAATTAAATCTGGGCCGAAAATAAAAATAAAGGAAAAATAAATCTGTTTTTAAAGGTTTTATGAATAAAAAACCAAATTGACATGTAATATAAAATTGAATGTTAAATCGGATTAAATTGTGGGAAAAAAAACGCGTGTGGGCCGGGTTTATGATCTAATGGGCCAAAACCCCCGGCCTCCACAAAAAAATGGGGCAATAATTGCGGGTCGGGTCGGGATCCGTTTTCCGAAATCAAAATTCACCGGGCGCTTGTTCAGTCCACAATTGAGTTGTGTCCCTCACTTTCCCTCTGGTTCTGGCGAGTCCTCTCCACGCCATGAAATGGGAGATGGAGATCGAAGAGATCGAAGCCGTGCTCGAGAAAATCTGGGACCTCCACGACAAACTCAGCGATGAGATTCACCTCATCTCCCGCTCTCATTTCCTCAATTCCATCAAAAACTCGTCGAGATCGGTGAGGAGAAAGGTTTACGGTGAAGATTCCGGCGATGAGAAGCGAAAGGGTTACGTCTTCGTCAAGGGATTCAGTCTCGATGACAGCGATTCGGCGATTCAAGAGGCGAAGAGTCTGAACGCGATACGCACCGCTCTCGAGAACCTCGAAGACCAGCTTGAGTTTTACCATGTAAGTTGCTTTTTCCTTCGATTAATTTGTGTGTGTGTCATATGGACGGTATAATGCTTCTTTCTGATTCCTGGGAAATTTTGTGAAATAGAGAAAGGAAAGTTTGTCTAAGGGTCTACGATTTTATGCTTTTAGCGGATTACAACGTGGAAATTGGAGTATACGTGTGGATAGATATCGATTCAACTTGTTAAAGCCTCCATGTTTTCTGATTCCAATTAGTTTCTGGTGAGGGGAACTGGAGAAGTAGTCCTTTGGTTAAGCCCATCCAAGCCTCCATGTCTTGTGCATCTTAGGGTTCTGGTTTGTTTCATTCATTTCCCGTATAGTCTGTGGCATATTCTTGTAATTTTGGTATTACCTTTTTCTTGGATGCAATATGTGAGATTTATTGGTCTATCTGCAGACTATACATACACAGCAGCGAGCCGAGAGAGATGTTGCAATCGCACGGCTTGAGCAAAGCCGGATTGTTCTGGCAATGAGATTGGCTGAACACCACGGCAAGAAATACAAAGTCCTGGAAGAAGCTTCAGCCTTTGTGGGAAACATAAAAACGGCTAACCACTTCGTATCTCCTGAAAACCTCTACCATCCCACTCTGAATCCATCCGGTGCCAAGTCTGCCCCATCCGATGGAAAACGGTCGAACATACTTATCAGTGCCCTCTCCTCGAGTTTCGATTTCGCCAAAAGGGCATTGCAGTCCGACCATGTGAGAGGGGTATTTGGGAATGCTGCTATATTCGCCATTAGCATGATCACCATGTTGCACCTTAACCGAGTAGCTACCGGGGAACATCATTTGCGGAAGAAAGAAGACAATTTTTACATGACCCAGAGGAAAACATGCCGAAGAGAGGCATCCTCTGCTGATGGACGCTTGGACCAGTTGGATGTGTTGATGGCTCGGGGTTAAGGCCAGTGATCTGACTCCTTAGTGTCTACTCGTGTGACGAAGATAACGTTTCGGGCAACGGAATAAGAAAACAAAAAAGGGAAAGCAGTAACAAAAGAGATGAGATCTCTCTTCCATTCTCCCAAGACAGTGTCTCATGATCATCTGCTTCTATATATATAGAGAGCGAAGGATAAGAATTCAGATTCAGAGGCATATCTTGGAGTTTTCTGGACTGTGGTGATGGTCCTCTCCATGAGGTCAGTCTGCGTCTTCTGATGCAAATAACGTTTCCTTCTCCTTTAAATTTGTCGTTCGTTTGTTTGTTTGTTGATTGAAGAGTGGTATAAATCATCTTTGTAATCACAGTTTCAGTGTTAGATTTCGGTGTAAACAAACAGATCGTTTGTGTATTCAGTTGCCACTTTTGAGAGAGACTTGGAATCAAAATATGATCAATTTGACTGATATGGGTTCCTCACTTATTGGGGATAATATTTTGCAATAACAATCATTTAAAAACATTAATCTTGTAGTTACTTAAGGACTAAATCATAGTTTTCTTCATATAAAAACTGCAACACAAACAAAAAATTGTTGAATAGAGAATATACAACTCCGACTAGTAACACAACACGTCTTTGTGTGAGCAAGATACCAAATAAATCAGAAACCATAAACAAAAAATAATTTATTTGGATGCAATCTTATCATTTAGAAGTAAGATAAAAATATTTTTTAAAAGAGGATTGAATTATAAAATTTAATTGCTATTATATATTTTCCAACATATTCATAAAAAAAAAGATAGAGTTGGTATCATGTATTGTTTTTTTAAGTAGGATGATTAAAAAAAAAACCATTAGATTTGGCATAGCCGATATGATTTCTCAAAAGAAAGTCTGTCATTTTGAATATTTGGATGTAAATTCAACATATATATAAAAGTATATTATTTCTCCAAAACTGGTTTTACAATCAGCTCTGAAAAACTATATTATTTAAAAAAAAATCATCAAATCCAAAAAAACCCCACCAATTACAGCTTCCAAGCAAAATTGCGCTGACCGGACAACTGAACCGATTTCTCATCGCCGGTCTAATTTTCTCATGCTGCTCCTACTGCTTGGGGCATTATCAGTAAATCTTCCAAATCTTTGAAAGAAAAATCGAAATAGTTGATACCACCACCGGAATTAAACTGCGGCAGCCGATGGGATCCTCCGATTCTCGTAATTCCGTCGTTAAGTATATCTGCGAAGAAATCGTTTGCCGCAGAAATTGGTTGGTAGAATGTTGAAATGTCCGACGACTCGTTGAATAATTTGTCGAGATATGAAGTGTCCAACGGCAAGGAATCGTCCGAGTCGATGGATATACTGTTTCCGGGTTGGTAGCACGGCGATTCCGATAGTTCCGGTTTGACCGGTTTAGTGATCTGTTCCGGGTCTTTGGCCGAATACGTACTCCTGACCGGTTCTGTGATTTGTTCTGGTTCTTCGGCCAATTGTGTACTCGTGACCGGTTTAGAGGCCGGTTTAGTGATCTGATTGTGTCCGAAATCGAGAACCGAAGACGGAAATGGGAAGCGATCGGGCACGTCGGATGGTTCGCTGCTCGACGGTGAAGTGTTCGTCTCCGGTTTTTCCGGAACGGACACGACAGGGACCAGTTCTGAAGCTTTGTCTCGTCTCCTCGTCGGAGGTAGGATGAAGTTCGTGACAGCGTCGGATCCCCGGAGCTGAATGGCGGCGTTGTCGTAAACCATGGCGGCTTCCTCCGCCGTGTCGAAGGTTCCGAGCCAAATCCTCCGCCGCTGCTCGGGATCCCTGATCTCCGCCGCCCACTTTCCCCACGGCCTCTGCCTCACTCCACGGAGCTTTCTCCCGCCGCCGGCAGAACCTGCAACCTCCGCCGCCAAACTCCTCCGTCTCTTCACCGGGAGGGAAACGGCGTTGCCGATGCGATCAGGTTCGACTCTGATCTCTTTCACGAACCGTTTCACCCTACGACGCGGATGCAGGGGTTCCTCGTCGTCGCTGGATGAATCGGTTGCGTCGAGATCGGTCACCGAGACTCGAACCATCCTCGACTCCGACCGGACTCCTCCTGCGCCGGCGAGTTTCTCCTGCGACTGTTTTACGTACTTTGTGGTGACAGTTCTGTGCTCGGTGCACTTCGCATCTGTACAATCCGCCATCTCCATCATCATCGCCGTAACCTTCACCACTTTTTTTTTAAAAAATCGCATAAAAAAAGTCAGAAGAAAACAGAGAATGCGGCCATGGAAAAGATCTCAGCGAGAACAGAGGAGAGGAGATCAAAACGAGAGACAGTCACAGGACAGCAAAACCGAAACGTTATATATAGCGAGAGAGAGAATAAACATGTTCTTCTCTTCGAATCCTGCTTTGTAGGATCTCACGAGTTTAGCAGAATCTTTTAATTAAAAAAAAAAAAGAAAATAAAAGAAATCAGATCTCACGAGTTCATCTTTCCCCTTTTGTTTTGTTTTTTTATTTCCATAAATTGAACTGCAGGGGTAGTAGTTTCCGAAAATAAGCTAAAGCATCAGGGGTAATTCCGGTACTAAAAAAGTTGTCCGAAGACCGTGATACAGTACAACAGAACCAGACGCCGCGTATCTCTGAGCAAATCGCATGATGACACGTGGCACGATGAGATCACTCAGCGCGTGGCTTCCCATTGTCCAACTGCGATTCCAGACAGGTGACCCCGGTTAACTATGCAATTGATTCGTTTTCTAAATTTCTGTTGCAACTAGTACATGAACTGTACTATTCTTTCCGGTTTAGTAAATTGAGAAATTAAATGGAAATTACCTTTTGATGGGTGTTTTTAAGAAAGGGTGTATGACATTCCGGAAATTATATGACTATTTAGGAAAAGATAAAATGGATTTCTGAAACGGGAATTGTGATTTCAAATTAGTGAGAGGATGAGTATTAAATAGATATAAAGTTTTAGAAAAATAGTATATTCCTTCACCAATTTATGTTAATATTTCTATTTTTTTATAAAAAATTATATATTAATTTAAAAATTTTAAAATCCTACACAAAACGTAAAAATTTTAAAAAATTTAACGTGTTAGGATTTTAGAATTTTTTGTTTTTTTAATAATTTTTTATTATATTAAAAATTAGTGTAAGAATTAACAAAATTAATATTAACTGAAATTTTTGTGAAAATATATTATTTTTAAAATTTTAATGATTATCATATTTGCAGCTAAAAATGACGTGGCAGACAATCTAAGATTTAGTTTTTTTTTCCCGTTCTCTTCCCCACGAGCAACTGTTGCGCGTGTTCTTCCACGCTCTTCTCATGCCTCTGCTTTTCTTTTTTCACTTGTTTTCTTTTGGGATTTTTCATTATATTTATAGGTATTTTTGTTTCAATATTTTGTAAAATATATTTAATTTTCAAAAATTTGTATTCAATTTATTTGAGCTGATTTGAAATAATTTTGTATTATTTTAATTTTTATATGCCCAAACTCAAATTGAAATATTTATACTGTGTATGTTTTATTATGTATATATAATATAAAATATTAATTTATAAAAATGTATATATAATATGGGTTTATGGGATTTGGTGTAATGAATCAAAACGTTATTAAGTAAAGAGAAAACTATTCAATGCAATACAATGCAACGCAACGTAATGGACCTATATGTTGTGCTGATAATTCCATGTGGCAAGTGGTCCAAAATTATAATTTCAGTAGGCACAAATATAGCTCCTAATAACACAATTTAAATCTTATATATACATATATATGTTTACAGTGGCCTAAGGTGTAAATAGATTAGATTTGACATTTTAATTTAGATTCTATATGATAAGTTAGAATATTATTTTGATAGTATATAAACCTATTTAAATGCCATCAAAATCTAAAATTCTAATTTCTCCTCGATAAGAAAAATTCTAACAGTCATCTTAAGGTTGAATGCGCCGCTACACAGTTTGGTTGTTCGCACAAAAAACATCATCACAGAGGATACAGTTTCTAGTTCCCATGAAAGATCATCAAACGTTTTCAGGGTCGTTTTTCATTGTCGTGTTTTTTTTTTTTTGGAATCGTAAAGACGGAAATGCTTATGAATCATACATATCACAGATAGAATAACCACGAGTTATAGAGAAAGAGGTTTCCCCTTCTTGCAGGGGACAGACAGAGTCTTCTGTCTTAGCCCATGGCATACTTCTGGGTCCAGCTCCGGGCAGTGGACTCGTACTTGTTCCTGTCGGTCTTGTACATATGAGCTATCTCGGGCACCAGCGGGTCATCCGGGTTCGGGTCCGTTAACAAAGAACAGATCGATAGCAACACCTGGTAGCAGTTTCCCCAATCCACAAACACAGAAGCAATACGTTCATCCAAATGCCAAAAGTTAAATGATTTCAAAAGACAGTTCAATACTATCACTTTCAGTTGAAAACAAGAGCAGAAGCTCTCGAAGGAAAGTATTCAAATGCAATCTCTTTTTGCATTTCTGTTCATGTTGTCGAGGATACCAACTCGGAGAGAATGCCTATCAGCATATTAATCCCAAAGTTTATTTAGGGTCGGTCGCATCATCGCATGAATTCTTCATTTCCACTCATTTCAGTTTGAAGTTAAATCTTTCAAAATTTATAACAATTTCAAACCATTACTCTCCACTTTTCTAACCGGAGAGTAATGGTTTAGTAATCGGGGTAAATTTATTATCAGGAAGGAGAGGAATTGTTTAGTTGATCAACTTAAGGGTTTAGGATAGAAAGAAAATGAACATTATTCCGAGGTGTTTTGGAGTGAACATGAATGCAAAGATAGAGATGGCAGGTTTTCATACTACTAGAATGAAAAGAGAAAAAAACCCGAACCTTGGAAATAGTAAGAGCAGGACTCCACTGCTCCTTCAAGATGTCGAGGCAGATACTACCGTTGCTGTTAATGTTTGGATGGAACACCTTTGTCCTAAAGGCCACCTATATTTTTGTCATATCAAATGTAAATCAATGAGATAAAACAACCACATAGGATAAACATGGGTTTGAAAGGCAAGGTTGGCAAATAAGATCAGTAGAGGAAAAGCACCCGAATGGCAATACATAGAGTCGAAAACTTGTTTGAAAAGGAACCGACAACAATACGGAATTCAAGTGATTACCTTTGGAGGTTTAAAAGGGTAATCCGGAGGGAAATGAATGGTTACGAGGAAAACACCTCCGGCATAAGGGCTGTCTGTAGGACCCATGATCGTCGCCTGCCAGTGGAACATGTCTTCGGCCACAGGTCCTGTAGCATTTGCAAGCCATTTCAATTTCGGATCGAAGAAGAAACAGTGGTAACATTTGCAAGCCATTCAATTTCGGATCGAAGAAGAAACAGTGGTAACATTCGCAAGCCATTCCATTTCGGATTGGCGAAGAAACAGTGGTAACATTCGCAAGGTATTGAATATCAGATTGGAGAAAAGGTGAAAGCCGGGGAATCAGCTACAAGGAAGGTAGAACAAAGGAAGAGTGCCATAACATAGCAGGACAAAAGAGAGTAACACCAGACTTTTATGATCCATTTGAGGGGAAAAATCACAAAAACAAAAAGAGATCCGACTAATCACACGAACGAGATCAAAATTAGATTTCCGCGATCTATCCCAGGAAAATCACGGAAGAGACATACCTATAACGCTAACCAGAAACAATCAATTCAGACAAATGACGACATTTCCACTGGAATCTCTGTTCATTACAGCTGAATCACACAAAATGCCCAGAATTCGATACCACGAACGTATAATTTCATCATCCATCAAAAATAGTAATAGATCGACACCAAACGTTACACATGCATTCGAATCCGAGCAAAGCAACGATCAAGCAGAAACTCTCGAGCGAAGCAAATTATGGTCTGAATCAAAACATCAAAGAAGAAAACAAAAATTGGTCGTACCTGCACTGCAAGATGTAGGAGGATCCTTCTGCAAGTCCTTCAATTCCTTCAAGATCCGCTTCGACGCCATATCCAAAAATCTACGATCAAACACAATCCAGGGATTAATCAAAACCTGGATAAAGAAAACCCAGAAACCCACACATATTCCAACGAACCCAAACAAAAATTACCAGACAAGCAGAATTTTTTTTTAAAAAAAAAATTGGGTTCGCGTTCTCCTTCCGCGTTTGTTTCTTTCGCCTCTTTCTTAAAGGTGAGAGACGACGACTGCGAAATGCAGAAATGGTGGTGGATGAAGAGAAGCTATGATCTTATAACGTCGCGAGCACAATAAATAGGGTGGAAAATGTATTTCTTCTCCTCTGATTGGTGGATTCGCTTTATTCTTATTCGTTTATTTATTTATTTAATTTTTCCTGTGGGCCCGACTTGGCGTTGTTCGTACGGCATACAAAACCACGCGGTTCTTCCTTTATTCATGTGGCGCCGGTGAATTCACGACGAAGCGACGTCGTTTAAGGCGATGGTCACAGTCTTACAATCCAACGGCCGAGATTTAATTTCTCAGAATAGCGCCACGTCATCGATTCCCACTTGCTTCGCTTCGCTCCGGCGAAGGAAGAAAGAAGGCGCCGACGAATCTGAATTAACGACGAACGACGTCGTTATAAGAGATGGTCAAAGTCTTATAATCCAACGGCTGAGATTTAATTTCTTAGAATAATGCCACGTCATCGCCTCCCACTTGCTTAATTTCGCTCCGACGAAGAAGCCAACCGATCCCGTATCGCCGCCGCGGAAGATGGAGCGAAATAACAAGCGAGCGAGTTCGACGAGTCTGAACCGGTGGTTTTTGACGCCGGAGATGGAGATCCAACGGCGGCTCAGACTCGTTGAACTCCGGTCGCTTGTTGTAACGCTCCATACCGCGGCGGCGACTGGGAATCGGTGGCGTCTTCCTTCACAGAGCGAAATTTGGAATCGATGATCCGGTGACAAAACGCGGGGGAGAAGAGGAGGAAGAGGATCGGGACCTTTATCGGGAAGTAAAAGTCAGGAGGAAAGCTTCTCGTTGTCTGGAGCACCGGGGGGATACGTGCCTTCGCGTCCTGGCCTGATGAAGATTATGGAGAACCGAGGTCTGGTTGTACAATTTTAGTTTCTGTGATTTGAGGATTTGCCAGATTTTGGTTCGTCGTGTGTGTATTCATTTCGAGTTGATTGCTTTGTACGATTTGGTGTTAATTATGTCATGATATGTCCATAAGTCATGATTGGGTCTGGTTTGGGAACTACTGGCATCACAAATTCCATGCTTTGATTTCATTGTTCTGATCCAAGTTGTCTAATTGATGGGCACCGAGTGATACGATTCTGTGATACTTATTTGGACTTTAGGTGCAGTATAACTTATTTACAAGAATTATCAGAAGTAAAGGGCTCCTTAATTTCTGTTTAGCTTCCATCTTTCTTTTGAATCTCCAAAGGGATGGATGTTCGGATTGAATTATCAGCAGCTGAGAATTTTCTTTTCGGGGTTCCCATGATGTTTCTGCAGTTATATGTTTCAAGATTATCTTTGCAGTTTGAAATGGACTTTCGCATTGTCTTGAGCCGTATGCTGATTCTTTCCCTTCTTTCGTGGGTTTGACGAAAATGCAGCTGTCACATTAATAAGGGAAATTTTCTTCGAAGATGTTTAAGGATTGAATGAATGAAATACTAAAGTACCCCTGTGTCCAACTAAGTTATGCTCACTATCTTGTTTCATGAAGCACCCTGTGCTTGTCTTTTTTTCAGGGGATATAAAGACCAGAATTTCGCAGAAGTGAACCCGTCTCATATTTCCTTGCTGTCCATAGGTTTTGGAGGGAGCCCATTACTCCCTGTCATGAAGGTGAATGGATCCTTTTCTGGCTGGCTCCTAATAGCTTAAATCGGGGTGGTATGTGTTTATTCTTTGGTTTCCATCTTTTTTTCCCCATTCTTTCCTAAAAACTGTGTATTTTCATCTGGAAATGAATATATATATTTTCTCTGCTCCAAAAAAATGACTTATTCATGGTATATTAGGTGCTGACCGTAGGTAGCTTTGTTATTTTTTCGTAGAAGATTTAAGCTACAAAGAGAAGTGAAAATTGTTCAAAACCATTCCTTGATTGGGAGGATATCTTCCTTACCAACTAATCGTACAAAGAGATCATATGTGGAAAGAAAAGATGACAAATCTGTCTTTCATATTTATTAAAAAAATGAATTGAGAAAAGATTGCTGACTTGTTTTTGTACAGTGTGGGTATTTGCCAGTCTTTGGAACATGTTACGTGTAGTGGAGGAATATGGTACGTACTGTCTTAACAAAGACGTGTGCAATGTAATGTCTGGTCGAATAGAGTGCTGAACCTGAGGAAACCTCTGACCTGTAGCCACTGGCTAAGTTTTCGGGCCTTATTTCATCGACCATACTCACTACCTCGGCCATGTTTGGCCTCTTCTCTGGCAACCTGGCTGTGCAAGCCATCCCAACCTGCAGCATCTCCACCATTTCCTCCTCGACTTGGGTACACCTCAAAAGCTCCTCATCAAACACCTCTCCAGTCCATTCCTCTCTAACCACCGAATTCACCCACCTCACCAAGTCAGCAACCTCGGGTTTTCCTGTTAGTATCTCAAATATCAAGACACCAAAGCTATAGACATCGGATGATTGGGTTGCCTTTCTCGTGTCTGTTAATTCTGGCGCACGGTAGCCAAATGCGTGCCGGGGTAGTGGATGCATCAGTGTGGCCAGTCCTGCTCCATAGATGCAGCCGTATCCTCTGGGGTTGACAAAAATGTTTGAGGATTTTATGTTGCCATGAACTAGCTTGCCTCCACTCTGTGAGTGGATATGAGCAATGCCTCTTGCCGCTCCAAACACAATCTTCAGTCTGGCTTCCCAGTCTAGAGGTTTGCGGCTCTCAAGACCTCTCCAACCTGAATAAGATATTCGCACACGCACACACACAAGTTTTGGGACAGTGTCAGATGATTACATAGGAAATGCTAAGAATAGAGAATGATAGCTTAAGATCATGAAGAATCCTGTCATGTCACGGATTTTTAGCCTAAGCATTAGTTCATACCATGTAGCATCGTGGAAAGACTTCCTTGTTCATGGTAATCATACACTACAAGCTTCTCATCCTTTGAGTAGAAATATCCTCTTAGGGTGGCCACATTTTCATGTTTGATGTGGCCAATTATCTCCATTTGCTGCTCGAAATCCCGTTGAGTCACGTAGATTTCCTTGATCCTTTTCACCACGATGGTCACAGAGTCCTCGAGATCGACTTTATATATTGTGCCGAGAGGGTCCTTTCCTAAAACTTCTGCAGAAGCTCTGAGCAAGTCTTCCAAGTCAAACGCTAGATGCCTTCCTTCGAAGAACACCATCTTGTTACCTTCCCCGCTCAGGTTTGTATCGGAATCCTTCCTCCTCTTGGCAGCTTTGTCCTTCCCTGACGTTGAATCTAATCTCTTGTTTATCTCTTTCTTGTTGAAAATGACCAATAGAATGGCAAGCAATGCAAGGAGCACAAAACACACACTCAGTGTGACACTGAGAACTGCATGGTTGTGTTTCGTGTGTTTTCTTGGTAATGATCTTGCAGAAGCAGGAAGAGGAACTGCATTTCCCAAAGAAACGTTGTTCCCTGTGAACGTGGAACGTGGGAACCTCTGCAATGACTCTGGAATAGTTCCTGTTAGATTGTTGTAAGCTAGTTCCAGATTCTTCAGACCCAGAATCCCGAGATCGGGAATCTCACCCGATAACTCATTATGGCCAAGATTCAGAGATTCCAGTCTGGTTAGCTTCCCAATTGACGCTGGAATGCTACCATTAAAGCTGTTGTTGGTGAGATCAAGAACTGAAAGGGTTTCCCAGGCGGAGAAGTCAGAAGGCAAAGGACCCGAGAACTTGTTGGACTCGAGGTGAAGCTCAGTCAAGTTCTTCAAGGCGTACAAATCCGAAGGGAAGTTTCCCGATATGTTGTTTGAACCGAGATTTAGGATCCGAAGCTGCTTTAATCGTGCTATCGTGTTTGCAGGGACCGATCCACGAAGTCCCGACGAGGGCAAACGCAGAGCAACAACTCCTGAATGGTCGTGGTTGCACGTTACCCCGAGCCATCCAGTGCATATAGGTAAGCTTGCTCTCCAGTTAAGTGAATGTGAGTGGTGGACCATGCTGCCAAGAAACTCTATAAGTGCATGTTTGTCTCCTTTGATCGTTGAGTCAGCCTTGACACAACATAACAAGATTGCCGCCCCTACGAGTAAAACCGAAGAAAACACGAACTGGGTCGTCATTTTCTTGCTCATTTTCCGGGAAAATCTCTCCAGTGATGGATGCCTCTTCTCTGTTTTGGTGGGTGGTTTGGTTTACATGGATTTGGGTGAGAGAAGAGATGGTATAATATACGAAGACTTTGTGTTTAGGTATATAAGATGTAAAGATTGTAGAGAGAGTTTTGTAGGTTAAAAGGCGAAAGCTTTTGGTTTATGTTAGGTTCGGCGACTTGTTGACTTTGTGACGCCTAACTGCTCTGTTTGTCTTCCGAGAAAATCGCGGGGGAAAAAAATTATAAAACAGTGGTTTCAGTTCACAAATTCAACATCACTGACCTCTGGTTTCAACTTCGCGTTTTTATTTTCCTTCGCGTTTGTACACTTGAACAAACTAAAATCGACAAAGTTTTTTCTTTAAAAAAATGATTATTTTTATTTGTAGCTTTACCCCTTTATCCTTTCATATTTATTAAAAAAATGAATTGAGAAAAGATTGCTGACTTGTTTTTGTACAGTGTGGGTATTTGCCAGTCTTTGGAACATGTTACGTGTAGTGGAGGAATATGGTACGTACTGTCTTAACAAAGACGTGTGCAATGTAATGTCTGGTCGAATAGAGATTGGTATAAGAAAACAATCGAACTGAAATGGAATGAGAAGCGTGGGTTTCGTGAAATGGTTATGCTACAAAAGAGTCACGTCATATCATCACAGCAAACGCATCAGTGTGTTGCTTCCTCTCTCTATGACCCAAACCCATAAAACCTGTTCAAACTCCGGAGCATATAGCTTCTGCTGCAGAACCCATTGAATACATTAACCCAACATTTCCATATATATATATATATATATATATGTATATATATATATATATATATATATACATGAGGGAGAGAGAGAGAGAGAGAGAGAGAGAGAGAGACCTGAGGACCAAGGGGAACAACAAAACTTCCCTTCATCAATATGCTTGACATCAAGTCCGATGAACCAAGAACCAGCACTCACATCATCATGAGCATATGCGTGTAGAATGTCCCTGCAGCAACCCCCCTCCCCCTCCATCAATTTCATTCCCTTTTTCTTTTTCTGTTGCCCCATTCATATATTTGCGTGAAAGGAAGAAACCAGAATGCAGTGAGTGAGAATGGACAGACCTGTTGATTGATATGAATCTCGCCAACGCATTGGTGATTACATACATCTCCCCTGAAGCATGCCTGAAGTATCTGCTCAAACACCAAAACACATCACCTTTTTTTCCAGATTACAAGAAGTTATCTAAAAGCTGGATGTTATAAGCTGTGGTCAGGGAACACGAGACGGTTTCTATCCTCTACATGACTCTACATGAATATATATGTATGTATGTATGCAAATAACTTACGATTTCTTGTCACCGAATTTCCACCATTCTGGCTCATACCATTTGTGGTTCCTGCCAACAGCCAAACTGAAGTGAGTATAGCACATGTCTGAATAATTTCTTTTGGATCTTTCTTAAAAGTGGTGTTGGATTTCTAATTGCAACTCACGGTTCTGAGAAAACTTCGCCTGATTTCATGCAACCGATGTAAGCACGTGGATTCACCGAATGTGTTGCAAGTGCACTTCCTAGAGCATCTGCTTAAAACCAAATTAGTTTTAGCAAGGGACTATAAATTAAGTCAACCATTGTTTAACACTAAACAAAGATAAATGACCCCAAGATGTTATAGAAGGGAAAATTCCAGAGCAGCCCCCTCTACTCTATATTCTTTATCGCCAAAAAAGACATCCAATTTAATTTTAAATATTTGATCGCCCGCTTATAAGTCTACACCTATTTAATCTCACACCTGTACTTGGAAAACCAAAAAGATATACAGAATACTCCACATGACCAACTGCTTAAAAAGGGTTTGAATGGACGCAAAATTATAGATAGATAGGCACAAAATGACAAATGTGGTTTCAGATAGACAGTTAACTTCTAGGAAACCCTCACTGTCTGGAGTTGCGGAGAAATTGATGAAGCCAGAGAGATCAAATGAAAGTTCATTTAAGAGATATGGGAAGAAAGGTCTTTTTCTATTACTTACCAATATTCACATAGATATTGTCATTGGCCTTTGCATAGAATTGTGCATCCCATCTATCTGCAGCATAAGCAAAGAACAACTTCGCTTTTTTAGTTGCTTCCTCAGGGGCTTCTACTAGGTTTTCCTGCAAAATGAAGTAACTGAGTTCTTAAAATCAACAAAGGTGAGCTAACGGCTGAATTTTCCTCCACATAATAATCTATAGCAACAAATCGATGAGGCAAGTCCATTAGAATCACATACAAGAATAACAAAGTCATTTGTTTGACTATTTTCGTTATCAATATTCCTGTCCAAGCTGTCCCCCTGATTTGGACTGCATAACACAAAATTAACATTAAGAACAAGGGTCCAACAAATCTTAAATGATGATTATGTGCATACATAGAGTAACGATAAACTGAAAATCAGACGGAGCTTAACCTTCTTCCAATAACAAATCGTGCAATCACACCTTTTTCATTTTCCAACTTTTTCTGTGATGCACCTGTGATAGAAGAACCACTCAAACAGCAAGCAACAAAATAACATGAAGCAAAAAAAATGCATACTTGCTAGGGATGGACCACAAAAACCGACTATACAAACTATGCACAAAGGCATTTAAGGTTTCCAAACAAATTGCAAAAGATCAACTCCACAAAGAAGATGCACTATCCCACTAAGCATGGATTAAAGAGAAACCCTACCTGTTCCCATCCATGCCTGACGAACTGCATCCCTTTTCTTCCTGTTGGCGAAATTCGTCATTATACCTATCACCACAAGTGGTTTTCTCTTAGTTTGGGCTCCATCTGTGTCTGCAAACCTCTTTGAAACAAAGCCTTCTTGTCTGGCTGAACTCAGTTCCATCTCAAGGGCTGCTAGTTTCTTCTGCTGTTCCCTATAATGGAACATCACATGATACAGCCCATAAACTTAATGTTGACGGGAATTTCATCGGCACATAACATGTGCTGAAAGCGTCAAAAACTGGCCAAAGAGAAGCATCTGAATCAGTACCAGATAAAACAAAGTCATACCAAGCACCAATTTACCTGCAAGCTATAATTTTCAAAGTATCATCCACAGATATGACAGATTTTCCCTAAAAACCAAAGCAGAATTAACAATGTTAGTATATGCCGTTGTAAGGCAATGCTGCAAAGAGACAGACGGCAGACAAACTAATCGAAAAATGCTTCTCATCAACAAACTAATTGAACAAACAAATTAGTAAAACTAATCTGTGATGTATGAAAAATTGACCGAAGTATGATTAGACCAGAAGAAATGCCGGAACAAAACTGAACTCAGTCTGCATCAATTTTGAGTTAAACCTATGAAAAATACAGTAGAAGCCCACGTATGACAAGCATGAATGCTGATAAAGGTACGAAACCAACATCAAACACGAACCTGTCCGGTTATTCTATCGAGCTCCTTAATCAGATGAACCCTAGTCTGAGACTCTTGCCATAACCTGTCTCAAACAATAAGAAAAAATGATTCAGAGAGGTGAAAAGAGGAAGAATAACTAATTGCGGCCCGTGAAGAGCAGAAGATTAAGCTCGAACCTGCCGGCTACGTAGAACGAAGCGAAAGTGGCGAACATGGAGAGAAACAGAGAAGAGATTCGCGAGCTCGATAGTCTATTACTCGATCCTTTCCTCTGCATTTTCGTCAACCAAGACCTTGATTCTTCAGAGTTCAAACGCAAAAGTCCGGAGATCCAACCGGGAGGAACTGGATCTCTGATCAACTCCTCACGCAACCAAATATCCTAAATTCGAATCGGCTGCAGTTTCTTCGATAGCTCGGCTCGGAAGACGACGCTTCACCAAACTCCGCAGAAAACCGAAATCAGCTCCCAGAAAGTGAAAATTTCTGGGATCCGCTGATTCCTCTCCAATCCGACAAAAGGCCAGAGTCGATTTCTGCTACAAAATTGGTGATTGGATCTGATGTTCCTCCAACCAGCCAGCCTCCAAAGAATTGCAATGAAGCTCCTGAGAGACCAGAAATGGCGGTCACCAGGATCCACGTGAATTGCTCTCCTCCAATCTGTTAGATTCAGCTTCAGTGGAAAGAGAGAGAGAGAGAGAGGGGAACGACAGTTGCAAGGGAAGAGCTATATCGTTTCGGTCGGTCTGTGGGTTTGTTCGGAGCGCAAGGTGTAACCAACTCATAGGTTCGCCAATAAAATGCACTTTTAAGAATTTCTTTGTTTTTTTTAACATGTGAATTTTAGTCTCATGGTTGTTAATATGGGTTTATTCTAATATATCTAATATTAATTAAATTTAAATAATTTTATATTTTAAAACTTTTATTTATCAAAATGGTAATAACATATGCTATTCAGAAGTCTCTTAATTGTTTATGCCTTCAAATTTAGATGTTTTGGGAGGATATTAATGCTCTTAGAATTATTCTTTCCATCGTCAGTGTTCTTGAATAACTTTAAACGTGCGTGCATTTGATGAGAATTCGTAATGAGTTACCATTTTACATAAAATTTAATATTTTTAGATTCTGGTATAGTTATTTTAGGGTTGGATTTTTTTTTAATTTCATACAAACTATAATTTCTCAAAATTTATACAGAATTCTATTCGTATTCCGTCTCTACTAAAAAATTATATATATATATATATATATATATATATATATATATACCTATGCTGTTGTACATGGAATGATGATTAATTCCAAGATGAAAAAATTATGACTTTTGAGGGCTTGGAATCAAAAGTGCAAAATGCAAAGACATACCTAAACCAGTAAACCCTAAGAGGCATCAGGTGTTGTCTAATCAATGAAATTCACAACTATGCCACTGAGTTTTCCAAAGGAAAAGAGGATCCTCTTACACAGAAGAGCCTTTTTCTCAAGGTCCTCCGAGAACGGCGTTCTCAATATCTTCCCTGCTCAATGCATAGCTGAATCTTCTCTCCATGTCTCTCTCGAGATCTCCCGGCCCGTTCTTCAAGTACCTGCGTTACAATTTATCGGGTATTCGTCAGCTTCTCGTGATTGTTTCCGAAACAAAAACATCAAGGGCAGGACAAGGAAACATCAATACAGAAAGATCAAGATTTTGCCCGGCATATGAGTTCTGGACTTCTGATGCACAAAGTATCCCATCGGTTATATAATACGTATGTCCTATCATAAGATGTCTGAAACTGCCGAGCAAACATATTTCGACAGGGCATCGCTGTAAGAGCGAAATCTCGAGTCTTCAAGCTTCCTCCTGACTAGTATATGCATTCGTCTATACAGGCTTTCTACGAAAGGAGGGTTTGATTAATTCTCATGGTGACACTCTATAAGCTCGTTCAGAAATGCAACCTCAGTGTTCTAATTCTTACTTACCTCGGAACCCATTTTTGACAGAACTGAGTACAATTCTTGAACTGACACAATTCGTGGACTCGGGCACGAATCAATGGCTTCTTGTAACATTCAATATCCACAATGCAATCTCCTTTTGGGTGACATGAAATGAATTCCCCACACTATGTTGAAGTTAAATCAATAAAGATATCACACAAAACTATCTTGAAACACAGACACTTCTAACTAAGCATCTCTTACAAGTGGGCTCGGTCCTTATGAGGACAGAATCACATGTTGCAAGGTAGAAAGTTTTCCACAGGGCAAGGTGATTGAATAATCGAATAGAAAGCTAAATATCATCTCAGGGACTCGACAATTGCACAAATCGAATTGCGAAAACCCAATCGAGAAAACGAAAAGAACTTGTTACCTAATGTAGAGATCGGTGACATCAAGTGATAATTGGGCGTGCCAATCAGGTTTCTGAATCGACCAAACAGCCCTATCGTCTTTGCTCTGGTGAAACCCTAGATTCCTCAGCCATGCCTCGATGCAGGGCAAGCTGTGAGAGTAGAGAGGCTTGTTCTTCTCCGGCAGCTTCTTCAGCCACTCGTCTTCCGTTTCCGAAATCTCCTCGGCTTCGGACGATTTTGAAGAAACTAGGGTTAGGTGTTTCTTTCGGGAAGGGGAAGGGGAAGTGTATCTTGTACGTTTTCGCAAAAACGAAGCTTCCAAGCTCGAAAAGCGAACGAATTTCGCGGGGAACGATGTACGAGGAAACAAGACACTGGAGCTGATGAATTTGAACGTGGATACAGTGTCCATGATACAATTTCCGAGAAGGTGTCGGGTTTTCCCTGGAAAATTCTAGCGATGAAAATTGCTTGAGCAGAAGACGAACCCGAAACAGAAGGATTTGAAAGATGTTTTATCTTCAGCTCAATTCGACAAGAGTAGTTTTACGGTGTGACGCGCCCACACTGAATCATGTGTGTATGTACATTGCCACGTCATTCAATTGAATTTGGGCCCCAAGATAAAAGCGAAATACAGCCTTGGGCTTAAAATTCAAGCTCAAAAGCCCATTCATAAATTCGTACAAATATGAAATATATATATATATAGACGCACATTTTTTTTTTATAACTAAGAGGTTTACCAGAACTTTCGGCCCAATCTACACCCTCTCAAACTCGAAAACAATTTTTAGAGGTCCAACGACAGGGGCCCAGAGAGCAACACCCTCCCAACCAGGAAAAACTCTCTCCAGCAATTGGCACCCCCAACCAATTCTCGCCTCGTGGAGCTATACCCAGTTGGGTTACACGCACATTTAAATCATTGACAAAATGTTTGGTTGCCAAAAAAGAATCTTCATTTTACAAAAGTAAATAACTAGCACAAAATTGATTCGTCGTTTCATAATAAAGAATAGGGTGATATTTCCTTTTTGGCTATACATATTCCAAAAATCGATTTAATACCATTTAAAAAATCTCCCTATTTTAAATAATAAAAATTTGTATTTTTTAAATAAATAATACAATAAGATTTTAATTTTATCTTTTGATTTCGAATAACTAGCCAAATGGTTGGGCCTTTTTTTTTAATTTTTACCTCAATAACAATATCCCGCCATATATTCAATTAATTTTCCCGCTAAAAAGTCTGATCTGCAAAAACGGTGGCGTTTTGTACCTCCTCTTTCCC